GGCCGATTTTGGGATTAACTAGCCGGAGTTTCTGCTCGGAAAAGCACGCAAGAAAGACAGAAAGACAGAAAGGCACGAGGCCCAAGGGTACACGCACGGTGGAACACGTTGCTGATGGGTGACTGCGGATTTCTTGCTTTCTTTCGCCATCAAAGACATCCATGAACAAGCCGTATGACCCACATGCACAGCGTTAAAGCATCCGTGACCGGCATATGTTTAGGTATCATTTTTGCCCACCTTCCCCGCCCCCCTCCCAAAGCTTTCCACCTGGTGCACATTGATATCCTACGAATTGTTTCCAGTCGCATGAAAAATGGTCTTGGTCGGAGTTTGAAAACTCTCGGACGGACTTTGATCACAATTCACTCTAGTGTTCACACTGAGTATGCTCTTTGATACTTGCAAAACAGTGGACCTGAACTCTTTTAGTGTAGCCTAGTAAACCAAGAAACATTGAAGAAAGAGTTTTGTCTAGAAGGTCACATCATTCATCTGATAAACCATTGATCTCAGCTGGTTGCAAAAAACAAACAAAGCCTTTCGTTATTGACTAGGAGTGCGAATCGAGATGGCCCATAAAAGGTTTCGGATGATCAAGGTTTGTTGTAAATAAATAACCTCTGGTGGACAAACTCCGACCCTGTTAAATTCCAACATTAGTCAAGATGACTGTTCCAGCGTGACCTGATGAAGAACAGATTGCAATAACTTTTCTTCAAGCCCACCAACCTCCATCGACTGAAAGAGATATCACTGGTACTTTGCATCTATCACGATCGAAGAGGCTTCAGTCCTCGGGAATTACTTGAGCAAGCCAACTTGTCTTCATATGTCTCAAGAAGCAAAAATCGATCTCGATGGTATAATACACGACACAGCTTTCTGTCCATGCAAGTAAATATGTTTGATTGATAATGATACATACGTGCAGACCGTGATGGGCTTAAAAATCGAGACAGAAATATGTTCAACAAGGCTTCTCAATAGTTTATCGTCAAACACCCATCAATTCAAGGAGTGTGGGTCTTCAATAATTGATAAGATTACATGTGTCAACTTGCCGCAAGAGAAAAAACATATTAATAAATAAATAACAGTGAGGGGATGTCCGATCTCAATTTCCAGTAAGATATCTAGAGAAAAAAGGCCCACAAGTTATACACAAATACATATGCACAGGGCCAGAAAGGATGAGTATTAAAATTTGTTGGCAATGGGACACGAATGAAGCTGCAAACATCAAGCTCCGTTTAGTTGGAAAATGCACTGTTTGGTTGAGGAGGATATAGTCATGATGAATAATACAAGAAAGTGTCGGAACACGAAGAAGAAGTTGAGGGTGCGAGTGGGTGTGGGTTATGGTTTTGGCAGAGACCACCAGGGAAGAGTCGAGTCATGGGACTAAGAGCTCACCGAGTCTCGAGAGGCCCATATAAGCAGGCCATTCCCTTCTTTCATTTCGTCCCTCCCTCACCCCATCGGCTCCAACCATTCAAAGCTTTCCAGAGGACTTTCTTCCGATTGACAATCACTACCAACACGAACACTTCCTACAAAAAAATCCTACTCCGGAAAAATGTTGTTCAAGTACTTGATGGCCACCGTTGCTCTTGCAGGTGAGGTTGAGATTTCTCCTGGAGCCAAAAAAAAAGAAGTGATGATCAGAGACAGTAGTCGTCCTAACGATTCCGGTTGTTTCTTGTTATCTTTCTTCTGTTTTTAAGCCGTTGTGATTAGTTCTCCCACCGAGCCTACGACGGTCGCCAAACCAGCGGACTCTTTGAGTCAATGCGAGAATGCCATCACCCAAGTCAAGGAACCCGTGGTTGTGTCTTGCAAAGAGGGCAAAGTTGAGAAAGTCAAGTCTCACTTGATCACGGTCCAAAAACCGATCCAAGTCCTATCCTTTACCTTCAGTTCTTCCTCGTCGATCGTCATCCAAAAGGAGGTCGTTGTAAGTCTAATCGCCCTCTATCATCGGTCTGGTTTAGTAAATACATCCTAATTGTCTTCTCGACTGTTTTTTTGTGCAGACTAAGTACTCTCAGGAATTCATCAAAGTTCTCATCAAGTTCCAAAGCGTCTTAACGGTGATCTACAGTCACCCAAAGATTTCAGCCGGCTGCACTGGTAAGAATGATTTCTTCACAAAATATAATACAAGAAGTTGAACGGGCATACTGAGAAAAATTGTGCATTGGATGGGGGGCCATGTTTTCATGAACAGAGGTCTTTGCCAAATTGGATTCTCACTTCGACAGCATTTGCACGGTCTTCAAGGAGAAGCATGGCGTAGAAATTTACAAGATGATCCATGAGGAGTCCAGTATCAACGTGACCGTCTGGGAGAAGACCGGGTTCAAATTCCAGTCCAAGGGCGGTTACTCTACCATCAGCCATTAAACAACTCTCTCTCTCTCTCTATCTCTTGCAAGCCCCCCTTCCGAGCTTTTGTCTCTTGTTCTTTGTTGGTCGTCGGTCATGATCTGCCGATATTCTTGATAGCCTCATTCACTGCCCTTCTTGTCTAACTCGAGACTATTAAGTTATCTGTCAATGGATTTTTTTTTTCAGCTTTCTTTTATCTGCCCATCTCGATCAACAGTTGGTACTTGAGTCTTGCGAGCATGTTCGCCACCTGTTGTGACGGCGCTGAGTTGCATTGCAGATCCTTGGAAGAAGGTAAATTGGCAAGACGGAATGCGCTGAGCCTGTGCCAAATAAATTGTCAAACTTCTACATCGACTGCAAACCCCACTCTGATACATAGATGCGTTTCGAAAAAAGTGTCAATGAGATTCTTCGAACTTAACCAATTAGAATAAAGAGGGACTCAGTCTAGCCAGGAGATTCATAGGCCCCCTATGGTCCAACCCTCCCCGAGTTTTAAATTTGAGTTGCAGGTTTTCATTACTGACAGCTTTTGGAGTTAATTTTCACGATCCGTTCATTTGCATTTGCCGCATCATATGTTATGAATTTGAGCATTTCGGAAAATCGAGCAATGTTTACATTGTTGACTATATGCAGTAAGATATGTTCAGTCACCATGTTGTGCTGAGCACCCAGGTTCCACTTTGACTCCTTACGTATCGCAATGCATATTGAAAGAATTGTAAAACTACCAAAGGATTGGTGAATTCCTTTTTTTGATGCCTCATCCCATTTGCAAGGGATTTTCAACACGAAGTCTGACTTCTCAAGCCAGGTTCGCCCAGTCAAAATCAGCTGAAGTCTGTCCTGCTGATTTCCTTTGGACGGACGCAAAAATCAGACCTCAACGAGAATGCTGGACTCTAACAGTGAAATGTCCAAACCTGATAGACCGGAAGTGCCAGAAGAGCTTCAGCGCAAAGCAGGTAAGATTCCTCTTTTCACTAATTATATCAACAAACAGAACTGAGTTGATACTGAGGAACCTCTAAAGATTTGATTATCAGGGACTTCAGACGACTGGCCGAGCAGTACATTCATCCTTGGCCAATCAATATTGCAAAAAAAGATATCTCTATCGAGCAGCTGAGGTCGAAGAAAGACCTGCTCACTGGATTGGACTCGCGCCTTCTGCCTCGACTCCAAAAGCAATGTGTCAGTCTAGCGAGCTTGTTGCACGACCCATCCCACTTACGAGAAGACCCGACCTTAACTCTCAACCTCATCTCAGAGACCCAAACAAATCTTCATCTGATTCTGTGCCTAATTCATAGTAACCTTGAGGAAATATTTCCCGAAAATCCACCCTCACCTTGCCAGAAGAACGATCAGCACTTCAAGGAATTCAAAGCATATAGACTCTACCAATTTGATCGTTTCTATCAGAAAAGGTTTGAAAGACGGATTGCAAAAATTATATCAAGAGTCTATTCAAATCATCGAAGAATTCAAGCTCTCAACCAAAAATCATACAAATTTCGTTCAAGAGGCATCTTATAGTGTCAACGAATCGATCGATATAGCCATCGGGTGGTCGAAAGGGCCCGACTTGAGTTTTGTCTGGGATATTTGGCAAGATACGATAGTCGAATTCGATAGAGACTTGCAAGAGCTAATGGTCCAGATGAGTCCCGCAAAGATCTCGGATGGAAACCCTGAAGACCCCCTGAGCCGACCAACAATCGAATTCGCTCGATCATTAATCCCAATCATTAAACTATCAAGAGTCTTTTTCACTAAACTATTTCGAGAGGAAAGCAGGAAGGAAAAGGCGGAATTTTTCACAACTCTGTGCTCTGATCAACTAAATTCTCTGAATACATCGATAGACGTGATCTCTGACTATATTTTCGCCTTACCGATTTACATCAAAAATGCTCATAAATTCCCCCGGATAGTTACTACTTCAGGAATCATCGAAGGACTCAATAAAGCTGTATCCCATTTTCTTTCTTATTTTTCTATTGTTAAAATTGATATCCTGCCTAATCTTTTCCCTAAACCCGAAGATTTACTTCCTCAAATTCAACTCCAACAGTGGTTTGACACTTGGTATGAATTGTTCCATGATGCTTTTCATATTGTTCACCATGCTGCCGATTCATTTGATCAAATCTCATCAAGTTTTTAGTGTTTTGTTGATTTTCTAATACCTTTATTTTCATTTTTTTTTGTTCAAGACTGAAATTTACTAGAATATTTCTAAGATTATGTGGTGTACTAGTTATATCACAAGTGGTTTGATTTGATGATGTGAGGTTTCATTATTTTTTTCAATGTTGATTGTAGATAATCAAATTTTCTTGTGTCCTAAATTGCCAAGTGCCCCTCTGAGAATAGTTTTGGAAAGGCACCCAAAATAAGTTTTATCCATCCATTCTGTTCATTTTTGTTTTGATCTATATGAAAGTTGGAAGAAAATTGAAGCCAAGAGTTCAATCCCCATTGGTATCTGTAGACTCTCAATAAAAGTTGTTGTACACCCTTGATGTTGATTTAAGCTTACTCAGTCACTCTTGGGGTTCTCCCTCAGTTCTACTAAGCCATTTTCTCTATTGATTTACTTGGAAACTCTCCTATTTTCCAAGTTGTGAGTTTTATTTTGCTGACAGAAGAAAGAAAGAAAACAAGGGAATATTTCTGATAGATCTTTGTGCTGGCAGTGGAAGGGGCTAAGGGTGGCAGTCGGTCAATGCTTAAGCAAAAGAATAGGCTCCACTGTTAAAAAGATTCTCATGTAAATGTCCTCTCACTTGACATGAAAGTGTCCTGCTTGTGTGGCTTTCTATTGAAAGAATTGCCAAGCCATATTCCCAGAGAAACTCACATCACCATTGATGGTGCTGTTCCATGAGTAGCAATAGTGTAGCATATCACTGTGTAGATGTACTACTCTTTGCTACCCAATTTTTGTGCTATCTGCTGTGGTGTTATACTAATCAAACCAAATGCCGCAGATATTAGTTGATCATGTGCTGTAGTAGACCGAGCTTTATTTTTCACCACTGAAAGAATTGTCTGATGGTTTAGTTCAGTATAGAAGCACCCTTGGTCCTATGATGCCAAAGGTTCACAAGACAAAAAAGGTGTTCTATGCTAGGGCTTTGAATGTTTTCACATAGAATGGTTCATTGAGGTTGGATATTGAGCATCAGGGATACCTGCTTCCCTGTAGATAGATCATACTCTCCTGACATTTTGACCCTTATGTAACATCATTACAATCCCTCAAGATCAAAGCTCATCTCTCCCTCACAATCCACATACAATCACATTTTTCTTTGTGATTGAAAATAAGATCCATTCCTTTCCTTCCCTCTTTCACTTTACTTTCTCTCTTTCCAACCTCTAAGTTTGAATCATAATTCTACAACTTGTCATCAGTTCACTTTATATGTTTGCAGTCAAACTGAGTTTTTATTTCAACAGATATTTTGATGTTGAAATCTAGTTTCTTTTTATATCATTCTTTTTGGTTTTTGTTTTTCACTATCATCTTACAACAGCTATTTTTATATCTGTTTGAGATGCCATCTTTTTCTCTATTTTGTGTCTCATTTCCCCCTGGTTCACATGAAATACACCTACACAATTTTGGGCTTTTGATCATCAGTTCCTGGTTCATTATGTACATGATTCTGAAGTACCAAAACAAAAATAAAATAAAGGAAACTGGATTGAGTGATAGATTCCAAAAAAAACATTTTGGTCTGAGGCTCATGATCTTACATGTGGTGCAATTTCAAGTGCAATTTAAAAAGTGGCACAACACGAATGGGATCAGGTCAGGGACGGTTGTTCAAATCTGATCATAATCTTTGATGTTGGTGGCACAAGTCTTTTTAAGAGATGCATACATATTTATTTAGGTACTAGAGCAAAGCTATGTGAGTGGTGAAAGCAGAGTGAACAGGTCTTGAGAATATTAAATATGTAGAGAAGTTTGAATAGTGTTCAATTGTGATATGTACCATAACCAGTTGGTTGATGATGATGATGCAAAGAAGGGGAAGCGAGCTGAAGTTGAAAACTCGACTTGGAATCGCATCTTGAGAAGACAAGACTCCGACACTCTACGCTACCATCATGGTCACGATTGAGCCTATCAACATATCAACGACCAACAACAACCAAGGAGAACCGGTGGATATACTCATCTTAGGTGCTGGATGGGTAGCTGGATTCTTAATGTAAGTCAGTGTATATTCCAAGCTCCCCCCGTTTTCCCAAGACAACTTCGGTCATTAACCTGTTACACACTTTTATTTGAAATACGATAACAGTTCGTATATCGATCAACACAAGCCAACGATAACGTATCGAACGACGACCACAAAAGGAGGAGGCGAATACCAGTCGATCCCGTTCAAGTTCGACCCGAATCGTCATGCACCCGAAACTGATGATGTGAACCAATTCAGGAACTTGCCGCATGCCCGCTCGGTGCTCATCAGCTTCCCCATCAAAGACTCCGGCGCTTCTCGTTTCTTGGTCTCCCAGTATCTGCTCTCTAGAAGAACAAGGAAAAAGACTTCCACCCTATCCAGCACCGACCAATGGATCTTTAATGTCAATTTCATCCAACTCGGAAGTAGTGGGATATTCGACGTTGAGTGTGATCTTCCGCTACAATTAAACTGATTCTTCCCTGATCAAATCTTGTTGAAAACTTATTTGTATGGACCATGATTGTGCGTTTGTTACATTAGGGAAGCCCAACATTGAAAGCCATCAATAAAGAGGAGGGAAAGCAAGAAGGATCGGTATGGATCGACCGAGATTCAGAGTATGACAAGACGAATCCACGGGCGATATCGGAGGACGAGTTACTCCAGATGAACGGGACAAAACCGATAAGTGACGAGGACGTGAGTGTGCGGACGACGGTTCTGAATCTATCGGGGCTCTGGGGCGGGACGCGAAGCATGCGAAGATATGTGGGCAAGATAGCAGCCACGAAGGAAGCCTTAGAGCGCAAGACGAGTCTGCACATGATCCATGGCCTCGATGTGGCCCGAGCGATCCTCGCCGTTGTCGAATCCTTCGATCTTGCCGCCGGTCAAAGATGGATCCTCACCGACCAACGCATCTATGATTGGTGGGACCTGGCCTCCGCTTGGGGCGAATCCTCCCTCGACCATCCTCATTCTCACCTCACTATTGGCCCCCAAGCCAATTGGGTTAATCAACTCATGCAGGAACATAACGTGCGTGCTTTGCCCAGATCCCCCGCTCTGCTCGGGAGAGCTATCGATAGTCGCCAGTTTTGGACCACTTTCGGTCTCACACCCGTTCGTGCTAGAATGGAAGATCTCTCTTGAAATCTTATTCTCTCTTTATGTCAAACAACGGCTTTGATTTGTATACAAAGCTCCTGGTCTTCTTTACTTACTTCTGAACAAATGAATTAGACTCTTCCAGAGATAATCAAATGTATGTGCAAGATACCTCAACAAAATAGTCAGTTATAGATGTGTGTCCTACTTAAGGTACTTGATATAGATAAAC